CCAAAAAAAAAAAAAAAAAAAAAAAAAGACAAGCCATTTGATAAAAATATGGACAAGGGATATAGGCCAGGTAATTAACAGAAAAGTAGAAATCTACACTGCCAACAGACATATGAGTAATGTAATGGTGCTCAATTGTTTGTAATCTAGAAATGCAAATTAAAATAATGAAAATCCATTTATTACCCATCAGATTAACAAAAATTTTAACTATGTCTATGCTGACAATTAGCAAGAATTTTTTTAGGGACTTCCCTGGTGGCACAGTGGTTAAGAATCCACCTTACAATGCAGGGGACACGGGTTCAATCCCGGGTCCGGGAAGATCCCAGATGCCATGGAGCAACTAAGCCCATGCGCCACAACTACTGAGCCTGGGCTCTAGAGCCCGCAAGCCACAACTACTGAGCCCACATGCCACAACTACTGAAGCCTGCACACCTAGAGTCCGCAAGCCACAACTACTGAAGCCCGCGTGCCTGGAGCGCACGCTCCGCAACAACAGAAGCCACTTCAATGAGAAGTCCGTGCACGGCAACAAAGAGCCAAAGCAGCTCCAAAGAAAAAAGAAGAATTGTTTTAAAAAATGAGATCTAAAAACCCTCATGCACTGCTGATGGGAAGGGAGACTGTTAAAACCACTTAGAAGGCAGACACACAGTCTGTAATAAAACTAAAGATTCTTTTTCCTTGCAGAGCCTTGCAACTCCATTCCTAGGAATATTTCCTGGAGAAACCCACAGAGGAGCATGAGGAGACATGACAAAATACGTTTACTGCCACATTTTTGTAACAGTGGAAGAACTGAAGACTTAAATACTCCTCAATGGGGGAAAAGGTATGTTCAATATTTAACAATTAACGAGGAATTCCCTGGCAGTCCAGTGGTTAGGACTCGGTGCTTTCACTGCCAAGGGCCCAGGATAATTCTCTGGTTGGGGAAGTAAGATCCCACAAACCACGCACGGCACGGCCAAAAAAAAACAAACAAAAAAACAATTTAACAATTAAAATCAAAGACCAAGAACTAAATGTATAGATAAACCTAAAGAATATTTAACTTAAAATAAGCAAACTACAAAATGATGGATACAGTATGAAACCAGTTATGTGACATTTTTAACCACAAAAGCAATACGCTGTACTATCTATCAATACATATGTACGCACTATGAGGCGAAAACCAAAGTCAGGAAACAATGTTGAGCAATTTCAGCAGAGTGAGCATTTCTGGGGAAGAAGGATGAGAGGATGCGATGGGGGCTTCCACTGTAACGCTGTGCTATTTACAAATACAGCGAAATGTTAACAGTAGTCAAATCTGATTTGTGGGTTCAGTCATTTCTCATGTTAGTCTCTACACTCTTCTGTACACTGGAACTCCTCATCAAAAGGCATAAATTAAAAAACAAGAACTAAAACATAACCATCAATTAAACCTATGCACGTACTCAATAAAAGGAAGTTGTGTCTTACCTCAACCGAAGAGCGAGGAGTCACAAAGAACTGATTGAATTCATCAGGGCTAAAATCTCCAAAAATATACTGAAAAAAAGAGAATTACTGATCACATAAAATACACAAATCATACAGTTTCAGAAAAAAAGTGTTATATCTCAATCCTATGAATAATTGGGCCAGAACCCCCAAGACCCTTTCTCCATTAAACAAATCAAGGATCTGCAACCAGATTTCTAGATGGAGTGTTTTCCAATTACAAATAATAAAATACTTAGGTTTTCCATAAATTGTCAAAGAACGGCCTAAGGTTAATAGAGCTTACTTTTGTTACCAAGGCTGTTGCCCCAGAATCATACCCCTGGCCCCTCCCTCAAATAGAAACCTTATTCTTATCTAAGTTTCGAGAGGAAGATGCAAAGAGGAAAAAACAACTGGTTAGAACCAACAAGGCCCAAGATGGCGGAAGATTTGACTTCCAGCAGAAGTTGAGTCTCATTACATTCTCATTGTAATACATTAGCATATGCTAAATGACCCACGCACGGGCACCAGTTGAGGACTGCCATGACAACTGAGAAAGCCCATACAAGGACTGAAAAGGAGAACTGCAACAGTCCCAGGTCCAAACCACACCCCTGTTCTCCAATAAGTCATGAGTATTCCTCCCTCTCTTTCCAAATCCCTCTCTTTTACCTTGACCCTCCTATATATTTGGTATCTCTGCCCAAATTGGATTGAGAAGTTGATTTGGAACTAGGTTCCTGCTTCTCCATTCTTTGGCCATTGAATAAAGCTTGTGCTGTTCCAGTCTCAGCAACCGTTTTGTTATTGGCTGCACAAATCCGGTCAGAAAAGAACCTCCCTGGCGGAGACAGGTGGCCTCAGCCGGGGCTTAGGACCACAGCTCGGCAACACTTTGAAACAGGTCAACTCTGTACACCAAACTTGTAAGTAGACTCCTGCTTGCAGGAGAATTTTTTTGGTTCACAAACATTTCTAGTTGTTCCATTTACCTTTCGGCTGACTCATGTCACTGCCCTGCATTTTAGTGACAATTATTTAACTAAAACTGTATCTGAGTAAAGGTTAAAGAATCACAAGCCTTGTGACACCAAAGAGTTTATCACAGAAATTCGGGGCAGCCAATTGCCATTAAAATGTTCAAGTCTCACCATCCCCCCAAATTTTCCTAATCTTCAATCACAAATTATTTTAGATGTTTGGCAAAATGAAGAATGTTACCAAAAAGCAGGGGGAAGACTGTGCTCTTCCAAAAACTCAATGCCACAAAAGGCTGTGGCAAAGTTCCAGATTACAGGAAGCTAAAGAGACAGGACAGGCACTTCCCTTGTGGCGCAGTGGTTAAGAATCTGCCTGCCAATGCAGGGAACACGGGTTCGAGCCCTGGTCCGGGACGATCCCACATGCCGCGGAGCAAGTAAGCCCTAAGCCCGCGAGCCACAACTACTAAGCCTGCGCTCTAGAGCCTGTGCTCCGCAACAAGAGAAGCCACCGCAATGAGAAGCCCGCGCACCGCAAGAGTAGCCCCCGCTGGCCCCAACTAGAGAAGAACCCACGTGCTGCAACGAAGACCCAACACAGCCAAAAGTAAAATAAATAAACTATTAAGTAAAAAAAGACAAAGAAAGAAAAGAAACACGTCAGGAAAAGGGGCACGCCCACAGCACATTTAGGGTAGAAACAAGCCCCTTTCACTGCAGCCCAGCCCCGGGGGCATGGCTGCTCTGGGTTGCGTGTCTTCGGAGCCTGGCCCCAGAGGGCCTAGGGCTGTACAGCCTGGGGAAGGGGCAGGCCGAACTGGAAATACCCGCGTTCCTGCTAAAGGAAAGCAAAGACACAGTCTCAGCCCAAGGGAGGTAAGAAGAAGGAAAGACATTTGCCAGTAGCCCGCATGACCTCCAGTTGGTTCTCCACAGATCTAATGAAGCCACAGGAAACAGCACTTTCTGCTTTTTCTACAGAAAGCAGCGGACACGGAGGACGACCACCACAACGCGGCACTAGGGGGCGCTGGAGCACAGCTTCCAAAGCTCCATCTCCAGAAACACGAGTAATTGTATAGGCTGCCACCAAAACCATGTCCTCTGCCTTCAAAAGGACTCAGGAAAACAAGACGTCAGCCTCTGAGGTAAAAAAAATTAGGATACAAAGGCATGATCAATAAACACATTGCTGCGTGTGCATTGTACACACTGTACAGGTTCCAAGGCAATCACTGGAACCACTGTGAACCCAGCCCCTGGGACAATGTCCCGAGAACAGACGCAAAGCCAAGCCTCGCAGTGTTCAATGACAGAACCAAGCACAAAAAGTACAAAGTCTTCTCCCTCTTTTCCCAACCCAAGGAAACTGAATTTGGGAGACAGGAGGAAACATTAAGGGCTAATAAACTGTTCCAAGTGATAAAAACTTTAATTTCAGCTCTACAATAGGGGTATGCCAGACTAAACAACCTCCAAAGTTCTTCCCAGCTCCAAAAGGATCTCCTGGATATAACCAGGAGAAACACAGGTTTGGAAATGCTCTCAGACTAATATGGCTACCAGGTGGTTGGCCCCTGAACACATCATGCTGACTGAAAGAGGCCAGACTCAAAGGGCCACATGTTGTATGATTCCCTTCATGTGAAATGTCCAGAAGAGGCAAATCCCTAAAGACAGAAAGTAGATAGATGGTGGTTGCCAGAGGCGGGGTGGGGAGGGGATTAGGGAGTCACCACTGATGGATATGAAGTTTCTTTCTTTTTTTTTTTTAATACATCTTTACTGAAGCATAATTGCTTCACAACGCTGTGCTAGTTTCTGTTGTACAATCTTTCTGGAATGATGAAATGTTCTAAAATTGACTGTGGTGATAGTTGCACAACTCTGTGAATATACTAAAAACCACCAAAATGTACAGCTCTTTTTTTTGTACAGCTATTTAAATGGGAGAATCCTATGGCATGAAATTATTTCAACTAAATAAATGAAGTAAAAAAAAAATCAGGTCAGGAAGTACTTGCATAAAAAAAATTTAGATTTCTTTACTCAGCTTTTTTTTTTTTTTTTTTTTTTTTTATCAGAACCCAGTACTTGAGGACGCTAGCTGACATCTACCGAACAGTCACTGTGTGCTCTTAACTTTGGAAAGTGGTGTGGGTGGCCTGGGGAACACCTGGAGATGACACTGTTCAGTCAACGCACAGCAGAAATTTCACTGATTTAACAGTATGGATTGAGCACCAACTATGCACACTGAACTGTGCTAGATTATGAGAATAAATTTTGAATAAGACAGACATGAGGTTTGGGACATCATGACGATTATACTTTTGTCACAGTGCAAGTGGACTGCAAGCTGCAAAGAGCATATATTACAAAGGGCAGAAGCAGACAAAGGAAGAGGGACGCAGAGAAAGGCTTAATCCTCCACTGACTGGGTAGCAGCAGGACTCTGCTTACTTTCTTGGGGCCAAGGAGTCCTGAGAAGGGAACAAATGGGAAAACTGACAAAGCCACTCCCACAGAGAGCATCCCTCCTTAGGACGCAAATGTCAACCTACTACAGTGTAGTGTTAGCTTCATGTGGTTTGTGTATTTCATTCTGACTACTAAAGTCCTATCAAAAGTTATTCCCTCACTTTTCCAAGTAGGATTTTTGATAGGCTGGATGTATTTCTTTAAGTGCTCTCGTGGAGAGTCTAAGCTAAAACTTGTTTGCGCAGACTGCATTCTCCAAATTAGAAAACATGATTCACTTAACAGAAATCCACTTTTACCAACTTTCAAGGCCTACTGTACATTACACAATGCCAGTTAAATTTTAACTTGTTTTGCTCTAAACTATTACTAAACAGCCCTCCTTATACAATAACTTGGTATACAGACTTTTTATCACATGGAACAGAGCTGATAAGTTAGGGAGTCAGTGCTTGTTATGTGGGATGGCCCTAGTAGAAAGAAGTTCAAAATTCCACCTATCTTCATATCCATTACAATCACCTTGGTGCCAATCTAGGAAGGGAAGGGAAGGGATGGGAAGGGGAAAAGCAGAACACCAATAAAAAAAGAAACATTTGTCAAAACTCATCAAACTATATACATTAAATGAATGAAATTCACTGCACATATATAATGCCTCCATAAAGCTGGTTTTAAAAAAGGAACAGACACCAAGTTCAGTTCATCTTTCCATCGCCTGCAGTTAATGCAGTACTTGGCTTATAGCAGGTGCTCAAGAGTTCTGTTGAAAAACTTCAGGTGGAGGAGGAAGAAAAGCAAAGCCCACAACAAATACAAGTTCCAGGGCTAAGGAACGATGACCTCTAGTTCAATTGCGCCACAGCAATAGTTCCACTCCCAGATGTCAGCAGGATGACAACAAAACTCCAACTGAACTACTCACTGTTTCTTACTCTCCTGTTTTTAACTATCGCCAGAGATGCGCCAGCAGGGGCACAATTTTCATTTTTAAATATAAACTTTTAATATAGTCACTATAAAACATTTAATTTTTAAAAGTAACACTTAAACATAATCAAGAAAACTGAATTAAAGCTTTACAGAAAACGTTAATAAGAGGATACCTATTCTGACCTAGAGAAAAATAATTCACAATTATCACGTGATCTCCCAAACTAAAGAAAAATCAACTTCCAAAATGTTAAATCTTGAAGGGGAAAAAAAAGGGCAAAACAAACCATGGATGTGCATCAGGGCAGGTCAACCTTTTGAAAGTCCATTTTTACTCCCCATCCCTACATGCCTGACCACCAAATAAGTCTCCTGTGTCCGGCATGAAGGAGGCATTCTCTAGTCTTTCTTGCCCCCTCTCTTTCCTACTTAAACTTTTTAAAAAAATATTTCAGGGGACTTTCCTGGCGGCACAGTGGTTAGGAATCCGCCTGCAAATGCAGGGGACATGGGTTCGAGCCCTGGTCCGCATGCCACAACTACTGAAGCCCGTGCACCTAGAGCCTGTGCTCCACAATAAAAGAAGCACCGCAATGAGAAGCCCGCGCACTGCAATGAAGAGCATCCCCCGCTCACCACAACTAGAGAAAGCCCAAGCGCAGCAACGAA